GGAGTCGGAATCAAATCCAGTTGTTTGCCACATTGATAAAACAAACATGACATTCTGGGGAACCGACCCCAGAATGTCATGTTTGTTTTATGAAATAGCATTCAATTGTAAAAAGTCAACTCAAACAAGCATTCAGGGGCAACATTCAAAACACTCCCCCAGTCATCAACAACAAACAAACAAAACAAGATCAATTTATACCATACATAAATATAAATATAAGAAAACATAACTACTGACTTGGTGCAACACTACCTGAAGAAAATAACCCAGAAATCATGGGACAGTAGAAAAAAAAAAATACACCTCCGTTCAAATGCCAGGTTTTTGTGAGCTAAAAACAAGGCCAAGATAAATCATTTCAAAACTTTTTTCCACGATAAATGTGAACTAAAACCGGTACAACTAAAGAGAGGAAAAAAAAAATCTTTTGGAGAGTGAAAATAAAACAACAACTAAGATATTGGGGTTTCACAAGTGTGCGTAAAATTAGAGTCAGTACACATGCCAAGCATTCCAAGTGCCTCCGATTAACTCAAAATACAGCTCCGTTGTTCTAGTCGGCTTTTCCTGCCGGTTTCTCTTCGTAGCAGAAAATTGACACTTTTGGAATCAATATTTCATGAAAACACACTTAAAATCTCCCATACACGTGTAGGGTGTGTGTGTGTGTGGGGGGGGGGGGGCTGTGTGTTCTGGTCGATACAGTATCTGTGTGTCACAACACTCACATGTTCACTTACTAACCACGATGTTTGAGAAACAATCTAACACGTTCTAACCAATGGATCAAAATTATGCCTTTGAAAAGATAATCATGCTCAGTTTTGATTGACAGATCCCAACAAATGAAAAACAATAAATTATAGTAAACTTCAGCTTGGAGTGACAGATAAAACAGCTTGAGGCAAATACGCTACGCCTTTTATTTGGAGAATTGAGTAATAAGCAGAGATGGGACTATGTAAATGCCTAATCTAAGTTATTCCAGTTTCATTCGAGTCGAACGTTGCTGCCGCAAAAATGAAGCACTCGCTTTGCACGCACTAGCTGTAGTTTGTTGTATTGCAACAACTGACGCTGTACTTTATACTCAGTTACCAACGTTAAAACGTCTGTACAGTAAACAACAGCTTTATGGATGGCAATAGTTTGGACTCTGAAACAAATGATACCAACATTTTGTTTGGAAATCCGTGTAAAACAAACAACAAAAAAGGTAAACTGGCGTTACGAAATGAATCATATTCCATAACCTATCCCGACTCCAAGTGTTGCTCTTTTACGCCTGACTGTCAGAGGCTTGCAGACAAAGCTGCCAATCGGGTCAGGCAGCATTCTGTGCGAGAGGAAGTGCAATGCGCACAACTTCCAGAAGAGCCTGTTACCCAGTAACACATTAAAGCATTGGTTACGGCCGTGTGTGCCACTTCCCACGTGATCCGAAACAGTTTCGCCATTGTGCAGTGAGCTAAACTCAGATGGCGACAAAGGCAAAAGGAGCAAATTGATCCCCTCCTCAAAAAAGCTGGCCAGGGGATTTCCACCATGTTGGATGTTCATCAGTGATATCTACATTTGAATTTCTGACAAAGATTTTTTTTTTAAACATCAAATCACTGATGATTTTTTTTTTAACCATAAAAAAATCTGTCAAAAATTCCATGTTATGTAATATTCAGCCAGCATGTTTCACGCTAATGGTCATGTGACAGTCCTACGCTGAATATTTGACACTGACTTTTTGATAGAGAGAGAAAAAAAAAAACTTAAAAAATAAATTTGTGCCAAAAATGCCACGTAAAATTCGGATAATTTTTTTTTTAATTTACGGAAAAAATAAATCATCCGGGTAACCAAGAGGGAAGCTAGGAAAACGCATCCGCGTTTTTCTGAAGCCATCCAAAATAGGGTCAGTCACGTTATGCTTCACTTGTCACGTAACAATGACACACGAAAATTTTGACACCAAATGTGATTACGGTACAACAAAAAACAAGGTAAAAACATTCAAAATTAAGCGGAGAAAAAATTAGCATTAAATTCAGTGTAAAAAAAAAAAAAAAGTTACCCAAAGTCCAAAGGCCAAATGTTACGCTCAATTGGTCACATGACACTGCTATGCTTAGTCTCTCAAGTCGTGAATTTTTGACACCGATTTTTTTTCAATGGTGAAAAAGTGGGTCAAGAAAAAAAAATCTGGGTTTGAAATTCAAATTCAAACTGATGGCATCCTTTCAAACTAATCCAAGCACAAAGCAAGTCATTGCTCCCATCTTGACCACCGCTCTTTGTCTTACTAATCAATTTACATGCATCCCACGTTATAGAAAACCCTGCCAACCAAAAGCGAGCCGATTCAAATGCAAGCCATCCCACCAAAGCCTACAAGAGAGCTAATGAGGGCAGAAACTGGACTTTCAGGGTCAAAGGCTACGTTTTTACCGGGAGCCATAAGATGTTGCTGTTCAAAACAAGGGGACAAAAATAAACACCCTCATGAATGTTGACATTTTCTTTTTTGTGTGTGTGCGCGTGTGCGTGTGTGTGTGTGTGTGTGTGTGTGCGTGTGTGTGTGTGTGTGTGTGTGTGCGCGAATACAGAGACAAGCATTTGTTCAAAAGGCGTCACACACCAGGCAGACTCATGACCAGAACCTGATGGCATCAAACAAGAGAGCTGTTCATTTCCAGTGCAATGTTCCCCAGCAATATCGCAGAATTATAATCAATAATTCCGGATGGAATTTTTATAGTATACAGGCAAACCCCTACTGAACAACATTCACCCTACAAACATTTCAAGACGTAGGAACACTTTGTTAAAACGTTTAATATATGCCACCGGATATCACGGTTGGTTTTCCGCGCTGCAACGAGGTGCGACAATGAGGCACTCTAGAGCAGCCACTCCTGGGAAGATGCATTTTCAAGGTGTAAGCATTGCAAGCTACCTAATTGCATGTCGCGGTTTTGCAAGCTAACCGCTGATATGCTCAAATTCTTATACAATGGGTGAGGGATGACTCATGCCAAACACCCAATTGTATCACTGGGCCTCCATTTTAGCCTTTCACCAAATTCGGAAAACTGAAATGGTGAAAAACAGTTTAACGCTATGTTTCCACAATCGAGTACGGAACAGTTCTTGGTGTTTGCAGTTTTAGCAATTATCTTCTAGCATGTATCATGTATTTGGAAGCACTTCTATGAACTGCGGGTGGTCTGGAAGACATCCCCTTTAACAAAGGGTGGTTTCGCTGTACAACTAAAAATGGCACAGCGTGTTCCCGCTGCTACCGAGGCTAGAACCTGCATGTTTATGTGCGTGTTTACCTCCCTTCACTGTATTGCGAGCCTTATTCTTCTCATGCATATGAGTCATAACACTGTAATTCATAACAACAATGTGTGCATGTCAGCATGAAGACAGGAAGTGAGTGTGTGAGTGAGCGAGCGAAATCCTCAGCGTCCACTCCACTCCCGATGCTGGCCGTAGTGTGAGAAAAGGCTTTGACGGCAGTGAATGGAGTACTAATGAGTATGCTTTATCAACTGTCCATCTCGATGTTCAAATCTGTATGAAGCCACGCACATGCACAAAAAAGTTTCAATTTAAAATGCTCAATAACCTATACGCGGAAACTTAATTTGACCTTCTCGAAACTTTCGAATGCAAGTCCGACGGGACAAGGAGCTGAGTGGCGAAATTCCGTCCCAACGGGTGTTTGATCCAAGAATGGACCAATAAACTCAAACAGGATTATCTCAGAGGGAAGTGGCCATTGAGAGTGTCACAGTGTCATCAACAGGTTGCAAGAGAGATCCAGATAGACTGCAAGACTCACAGAAAGGCATAGAAATTGATTTATTTGGAAACTGACATTCACAGGTATTTGCGAGTAGTGTACTTCACATTAGAGAAATCCCATGACTCTCAGGTCAATGATGGACCTCCTGCCATCTAATACTAAAAGACAAGTATCCAATTGGCAATAAATAATACTTTTTGGACCAATCACTGCTCCATATGATCAGCTCACTTATTTCTCTGCATCAGGTCCTCTGCTTCCAACATGACACCAAGTTTAAAATCACGCTGCTTTATAATGAATGTAAAGTCAGAGGTTGGTTTAAATGCAGTGATGCATTTACTTGCAAGTGCCCCAATTTAGGAGTTTTTCGAAATAGATGCTGTCACTTGGTCGATATTTTTCTTTGTGCTGTGAGATGAAACTTGAGGTACATTGAAAACAAAACTTTAGAGAAGTTAGAGCATTGTAACGCCCTCGCCGTTGGTTTAAGGAGAGACATACGTCACCAATGCACTTTCAGTCATGCATTAAATGGGCCAAATTGCCCAACACACAAATACAAAAGGAGAACACTGGAAAGGAGCTGCAGTAGGCCACAACTCACGCCCAGATGCTCACACACAGAATACCGACTGCAGCTCCTGACATCAGTCACGAAGCTGAGTCCTTCAAAGGCACAACATCCAACACACAAACACATGATGTGCAGCAATAACATGTTTTAAAACATGTTTATTTACATTATTTTATTTTGGAGTATGTTTTATTTTATTATTTCCAATCAAATACAGCACTAATGCTATTTGTTTTTTTTTTAAACACAAATAGGGTTTTTTTTCCCCTAGACATTCATGAAATTTCAATAGATTTCAAAGCGGGTGAAGAGTAAGTCAAGGTACCGTTGGATCTGTGAATGATTCGTGGAACACACGATTTTACTTTCCAGAAGACACAAACAGTGAGAAGCCTGCAAGGAATACAATACAGTACTCACAAGGCCCCGGCACAGCCTTTAGCTTCCAACGCTCACTTGTTGAATGCGTCAATAAGTCACATTTCGAAGATTGGTTTGACAAGATTAGGACTAAAAAACAAGAGCCGTTGTTGCATAAGAAGCCAATGTGAGTTTGCCTCATGAAACAAGTGGCACGAAACAAGGCGATCATGTCTAAAGACTGTGTCTTACCTGGCCGAGGTGGTTTACGTGCACTCAGGTCTTTCCGTGTCTCCTTGCACTGAGTCGAGCTGTATCCGTCAACACACGCTGGGAGGAGACCTTTCCCTCGGCTCTGTAGCACAATGTCACAACTACTCAACTGCCCACCAAACGTGCTTACAACACACAGTAGACTGCCAGCTGTTAAACGGACATGAAACACACACTGCCCACTTGAAAGCTGTAGAGTCGCGCCGATTTCACTTTCCGCTGACGTTTGCTGAGAACTGTTGACAACTTTGGACTTTTCCCCCCTTTTTTTTAACGCAAACCAATACGAGTCCCCGTCTCCGTTCCTTTTCCTCCTCCGACCGACAGGGTGCTTCGAGACGACAACACCCGAATTTTGACGGGAGGAGAGAGGCGGTCCAAGGCAGACCCTGGCGGATGTTGGCAAGCGAGTTAGCAGTTGGCGGATGCACTGCTTCCTAATAATATTTTCAAAATAAGACGACAAGTTAGTTTAGAAATGGAGGTAGCGGGACCTTCAGTGGAGACTTACCCGACGTACACTAAGTGACGGGGTGTGGGTGTAATTGGAGGGTGAAGGAGGAGGGTACCAAGGCTATTTCAGGTGTTCCGCCATACAAAAGCTATTCATACAACCCCTCCAAATTCTTCAGAAAACGTTGATAAACATTCTTTGCATGTTCCCCACGGAAAATGGGGCGAAATGTGAGGAAAAATAACGGAAAAATCGGGAAAAAACAACAAAGGTAAATTATCTGGAGACACCTGGGAGGGGGGTAAGTAAACCCCTGTAGCTCTGCCAGTGCATAACCAAATCTTAAAAAAAAAAACAACACAAGCAGCACATAACAGCAAGCATTTGGGGCACATGTTCAAGCCAAATAAAGACCAATTGTCACTAAAATTATTCAAACAATTATGAAAAAACCCCAGATGTATTTCTTTCAACACAATCAACACAGACATTAATACAACTATGAAAAAAGGGCAGCGGATAGAATTTTTTTCCCATCCATCCGTTATCAAAACCGTTTGGTCATCGCGAGAGTAGCGGGCATGCTGGAGCCTATCCCATCTGTCTTCCGGCAGTAGGCGGGGTAGACCCTGAACTGGTCGCTAGCCAATCGCAGGGCACACATTGACAAACAACCATTCACACAATCATTTTCATCTACTGGAGTGCAAAATGGCGTGTGCTTGAGCACCGCCTAGTGGCTCTGTGTGCCCATGCCAGGAAAAATAGTAGCAAACATGGAGGGCTGGCAGTGAATGAGTCAGTGAGAGATATGAAAACCGAAAAGGGGAACATGACAGGCGGGCTTACAGTGTTTAAGTGTCGGGTGACTAACCCTCGTGCCCCCACCAAATCCCCATCCTTGTGAATGCAAGCGTTGTCACCTGTGGTAACAGAAGGCCTTGAACCTCCATTTTGGCTCCGAGGAGACTCCCCAGAGTAATGTGGTGGCTGGGAGGCGAACCCGGGTGTGTCCCCGACCACCGACCACTCAGAGTTCCCATCCGGGAGCGGCCTGTTGTTGATCGGGTCGAAGTCGTAGGGGTCCATGAACTCCCGCAGGTCACCCATGCTGGACATGGGTGGTGGAATGTGATCCTGCGGCTGCGCCTCGACCCGCTCCGGTGGTGGACTTGCATTGGAAAGGCGCTTGTTTGACATTTTGTTGCCCAAAATCTGAAATCCCAATTCCTCTCCACGTCTCAGTGAGAATTCACTATGAGCAACGTCTTCGATAAAACTGGTGTTTAAAAATGGGCACAATGAGATTGCTTTGATGTAAAAAGATTTCGCAAAGATCAGTTGTGAGATCATAGAGAGAAAAAGAAAGCAGCCAATGAGATTGTGTTCACGTTCACTATTTGTATCCTATCAAGGGATTACTGCACTTTGCAGCGATGTACTGTACTAACTTGCTAATATTAAAAAAAATACGATTTTTGGGGGGGTTTGTTTTATTAGGGCCGAGCGGACATTTTAAGGGCCTAAAATCACACCAAACTTTGTATACAAAACCGGCCTGGCAAAAAAATAAATCAATTAATACAACCAACCTCACCTCATTTTCAGGTTGAATCGAACTCACTTCATGAAAACAATATGAAATTAATTGATTATCCTGTAAGACAGTCAGTCACCGCCTAAATACTTGATGTTTTAAGTTTCAAATTTCATTTTCCATTTATGACTTTAATGGAAATCTACTTTTTATTACATCTCTCATTTTAGGTTATTATTGTTTGACATAATATTGTTAAAATAATAGCCTGAGTCATATTTTTGCATAGAAAAAAATATTAGTAGGCCTTAAACATCTCCTCATGATGCTGGTTGCCTCTGCTAAAAATTGGCTACATCCTTTAAAACAGATAATATGAATCAATAAGACTTGTAGTCTGGCGTTCTATCGACAGTTTGATTCCAAAATTGATCGATTACAACAATGGGCAACCAGAAGTCAAATCTTCTTCCTGCAGCCGCAGCAAAAGCAAGACAGGAGGCAGCAGGAAAGAGACTCCTCGTCTGTTTGGTAGCGGCCGGACTCGGGTTCGTCTCTGCACTCGGCTATGAAGGCCTGGAGTTGGGACACGGGAGCTTTTTCTTGCTGGTGATGCTGTAATGTGGAACCAGTTTGAAAATCAGGTTGGGGTCATTTCAATGCAGCATGCGGTGTGGAACCTCCAAAGTTCACTTTACTTGGGTGGAAAAAAATGGGACCATCATGTATTTTGCCTTTTCTCCGCTTTGTGTGTGTTGTTTCTCTCGATATACTGTATGTGTTTCGCTGTCCATCTCGCTAGCACCTTGCGAAAGTATTAGCACCCCCTGGAAATGTTGAAATTCAACCAACTCGGAAGTCATCCGACTTTCGAGGTTCCACTGTCTTTCTGGCGAGATTCTGACCTTGATAGTCTCGTAGGTGTCCGTGATGAGCGCGATGAAGAGGCTGAGCACCATGTAGATGAAGAGGGAGATGAAGGAGTAGAGGTAGAGGCGACTGAAGAGCCACACCATGTAGCCGTTTTCGGGCATCTTCATAAAGGTTGCGTACATGTCGTCGCCGTTGACCAACGAGAAGAGGCACTCGGTCACTTTGTCGAGCGTTCGAAACTGGGACAGAGCATTCGGTTGGTGAGGATCTTTGACAGACTCGAGTATGCCACACACCAAAAGAGCTGAAGAACACGTGCTGATTATTTTCTTCGTGTGTGTGTGTGTGTGTGTGTGTGTGTGTGTGTGTGTGTGTGTGTGTGTGTGTGTATGGGGGGGGGGATCTCTTGTTGGTTGACATGTTCGAAATGAGTATGCGTGTAATTCGCTGAAGTGACGTGATTCGAGGACCTACTTTGTCGTGGTACGGCCCAAGCACAATCCAGCCGCAGAAACAGTAGCCGAGGTAGATCATGGCAGCGCAGCAGCAGAATCGGATCACATTTGGGAAAGCTGCTCTTAAAGTCAAGATAAGGATCTGTTTATAAAAAATATACATATGTAAATCTTCATTTTCCCTTTCTCCTCACAAAAGCTTGCATTTTGTCCAAATGAGAACGCTCTTACATTGTATTTCTTGAAGAAACCAAGGTACCGAATCACGCCCACCCACACCATCATGGTTGCCGTGCCCAGCAAGATGCTGCACTCATCGTAACTCGTCATGAACTGAAAAAAAAAATGACAACGGCATCAACACAGCAAACATTTCTGGAACTGCACTTTTATCCACCTATCAATATATTTTTGCGCTTGTCTTCATTATGGTCGCGGGTGAGTAAGTCAAATGATGCGCACGAGCGGAGTTTTCCTTCTTTTGGTATTTTCGCAGATGCGCTCAATTAGAAAGGGACGTTTGCGCCGTTGTGGGCGCGAACACAGTCGACTTGCTTCCTGGCCAATGGAAATGGATAAAAATAATAATGCGTTCAATGAAATGAATTCCACAATGATTCAGAAAAACAGAGCCCAATGTTTTTTTTCCCTTTCCCCATGCTAAACCCACCTAAAAAGTATTTATAAAAACACATTTCCTACCAGTCCCGCTAACCAACCAATAAATGGTTATGCGCGAAAACACACCTTTGTCTGTATTCCGATCTTCAGAGCTGAGCCGATGATGGTCAGAGTGTCGCTGACAATGATGAGGATGTACCAGCCATTCACAAACTCCATGCGGTCTGACATGGTCACAATTTTATTGTAGTATGCGTGGAAGAATGTGTTGAATTCCTACAGGGAATATATACAATGAATAGAGGAAAAAATTGTGATCTGGAACAGCCATAGCCTTCTCAAAATGAATGCACAATGACCTCCCGAGAAAATGATTTTTTTTTTTTTTTTTTTTTGTCCTTTCTGGGTCTGTCAGTGATCCCTGGTGTATTTTGGGAAAATTTAGGAGCACTCCTGAACTGAAAAGTGTGAAGAATATATAATTTTGTGACAGCTGGAGGCCAGTCGAATTTTTTTTTTTTTAAATTTCTGAATTAAAAAAGGAGACATCTATTTGGGGAGTGACGTTTATTTTTTAAAGTGGACTAATGAGACACTGAGTCTATTTGAGCAAGGGTGTCTATTTGAGGAACAACTAACTGTTTTATTACTTATATTGTCACCGTTCTGCAACGACTAGCAGGGAGAAACCAAATGGTACAATTGCCTAATATCGACGCACGTGGCGTCTATTATGACGCGGGCGTCGATAACCACGGGGCGTCCGTCTCGATGATAATTGCTGTGTTGTGTCGCCGTCACTCACAAACTGGAGCTGGATGCCATTGACGACAGAACGCACGCAGAGGATCAGCGAGGTGAAACAGGCGAGGATGACCACGGAATCGAAGAAGAGAAGCAGGTAGTCGTTTTCACCTGCTATAAACACAGACTATCGGTGAACGGCGGCTGATTGAATTTGACAGCAAAACGCATTTTGACCTCACAAGTGCCCTCCACGTTCCAGTCTCGGCATTCGTTGATGGTGACGTCGTTTCCGACCGCCACTTTTATATTTCCGCTGTGAGCGTGGTTATCAAACGTGATCTGTAGCAAAATGCCAAGCGGGTGAGTTAGTGCCGTTTCGTTTTGCCATTCGACAGTGGCATCGGTGGGTACTGACCACCACGTGGAAGACGTAGCAGTCGGGAAGCTCGTGGTGCCTCACGGTCTGCAAATTGATCGTTTTCAGGGTAAAGTAAACGTTGATTGACAGCAGCCTGAACACAAAGAATCCATGAGTGGGGGGGCACCTTAACAATTTTATAGGCATGCATTATGTTCGTCATTACCTCCTAAAGTCCAAAGAGAAGTTCAGAGGTGTCGCCAGACTGCCATTGTCCAGTGAACGCACAGGGTAGATGGCAAAGCAATCTGAGTATGAAATCACGATATCAGATGCAGTCGTTCCTCTGATAAACATCAACTTTTGTGTGTGCGTGTGTGTGTATGTGGAAGCCACACTTGAATCATCCACTTTTTGGATTATTTTCCATTCGTGCAATGACTCAGATGCCATGAATCTAAAAAGCATGACGAGATTCGATACTTTAGGTTCTTTAGAGTGACACCAGACTCGACGCATTCAAGTCATTTCTTTCTTTAATGCCTAATAAAAGCAGCATTACAGTCTCCCATATTATAATGAACAATAACAATATTTACAAAAATCCATTGTTTCATCCAAAAATGTACATCTCTCATTTGCCGAGTATAAGCAGTGTAGTAAATGAAATGTTACCGGTATCAATGCGCGGATCGATGTAGAAGGTCTCGTTTCCGGGGTCAATGTTGCTGTTCCTGTAAAACTCTTGGCAGACCAACAGAGGCGTGTACTCGCCATCAATCTTCTCATACGCCAGATTGCCTACTGTCAGGTTTTGGAGGTTGATGTACTGCAACGGGAGAATACCAACAAGAACTGAAATGTTGCTACCACACAAAGTCTCGTCAGGTTTCGCTCAATTTACACTGTCGATGATGTAGTAGATGTGGTCGTATACGTCCGTTTTAGTGTGTAAAACGTGCCCTCCTAGCTGGTGGTCCTTGTACCCTTTCAGGAAGAGATGTCGGAATGTCATCAGGTTTTCATCTTTGAAGGTAACCATCATCTCATTGCTCAGTCCGAATGAGACCAGCTGAAAAAGAACCCATTGAAAGATAAGGAAATGATCCGTGCTTCATTCTAAGCAGCCCGGATGCCGTACCTGGGCGGTGATGAGGGCAATTTTTAATATTTGGAGCATCAACTTCCACGGCTTGCGGCCCCGGGCTTTGTACTTCTGGCAAGGGTTCATGAAGAAGTACTTGAGCCTGCGCCTCAGATCCTCCACCACCCTGGGGTCCATGTTGGGGGTGCGAAGGCTCCATCTGCAGCGGCCGTTGGCACTCCTTTCCTCAAAACGGGCACCCAAAAGGGGCTCGGACTCCTCCATGGGAGCGAGCGCTGTCAGATGCTACCGAAGCTTCAATGTGCAGACACAACGCAGATCACGTTAGAGAATGGCTCCATCATTCCAGTCATTCTGATGTTTATCAAACTGGTTTTCCAACATTACCTCTCAACATCATGAAGACAACACCAAATTCAATTAAATAAGACAAGTTTTAAATTTCAAATTATTTTTTTTATTTTTATTGCTACAGAGTTGTGCTGAGCAGCATGGCAATAAATTGAGTTTCAAACAAGTGGACCAGAAACTCTAAATCTGAACCTTATGTCATCGCTATTACTGATGTTCAAAATGTTGCCTGATCAAACTATCAGAAGTAATGATAAACAAATTCAACAGACGAAACTAACATCATAAATGTTTCACAGCATCATCGATTTAAAAAGCACACATGCTGACAGTCATCTGATATTGAACAGTTTGCCAACCGGAACACATTGAAGATAAAAATAAGGATCACACTAGTAATGATAATATGTGACTTACCGAACTAAAAGTGACTGCACATCGGTTGGGGCAGCTTACACGACAGTGCGCTCTAACTGCCACAACAGTGACTCTGATAGCTCTGCGTCATGTTCAGCTTTTCCAGTTATGGAATTTCCAAATCACATTTTGGAAAAAAAAAAAAAAAAAAAAGAACTATAGAACATGGGTCATTGCTTGCCTCCAGACACAGATGCAGTATACTGCATTTAAAATCAACCTTAAATTATAACGTCTCATTTTTTTTGTCTGTTACTCTAGTCTAGCATATGAAATTTATATCTAGCTGTTACATTTTTATACATTTTTGACATACGCATTGCTTCTTTGAAAACACCAATGTCCATGTATACCTTCTTTTTAAGGGAAAATATTGTGTTTTGCTGCAGGCGCCGCATACACGGTTCGCTATACCAAAAGTTTGCAAACATTTGTGCTGAAGGCCAACATTTGACTTTTAAAACAGACAAATGGGCTGGGTCATTCCTAGATGAGGTTAAAAAATTGCATAGTTATGTAAAACAGATCAATCCCACAATTACAATAAACTAATATTTGCAAAATGTTATTTACTCATAATTTCATTCAAATCCATGAACCAAAAAAGAAACAAACCCCCAAAAAAATGTGAACCGCATGTATCATGTAAAATTGTTTAACTATATTCACTTCAACAGAAGCATATTTAATGAGAAATGAATTTAAAAAAATACATTTTAACTAACCAATTTTAGGAGCAAATGGCTAAATTATTTCTTACTAATCCTAATATTTGGACCAACTGCCCATATTTCTATAACGAATGAGAGTTCAATAACATAAGTGTTTAATCAGGGTTCGGTTTGTCTTGTGTTTTATTGCATAACATTTCTGAGCAGACATATTAGAAAGACATCAACCTGATTTGGCCACATTATCTCCTTTGTTTTTTTTTTTTTTTTAAATTCTTATCCAGGCACTATGTGTTCCCCACATTCTTGCATGACAAATTGTCCATAGGTGTGAACGTGAAGGTGAATGGTCATAATATATACTGTATATGTCCTGTGATTGGCCGGCTCTCGCCCGCTCGGGTAGATAGATGAAATAATACTTCCTATCCCAAAACATTTTCAAAAATGATGGAGTCATTATCACAAGATAAAAGAACAAGCAGGCTCATTTGGATACATTTAAGATGGATGAGTTCATATCAATATTCATGATTGAGTCTTTGACTCATGGCAGAAAATGTGACCAAGCGGTTAGTACATTTGCCTCACAGTTCTGAAGTTCGGGGTTCAAATCTCAGCTCATGTTTTCCCTGTGCTCATGTGGGGTTCCTCCAAATACTCGAGCTTCCTCCCATATTCATAAAACATTCATGTTAGGTCAGCTGAGGAATACGATGTCCAACGCCGTGACAAAGTATTTTCCGCCTTCCTGATTTCTGTATTCTTTCCATATTTATCACACAAAGATTTCAGTTCGTCAAACCAATTTTAATATCACACATAGAAAACCCAAGTGAATACCGAATCCAGTTTCTAAGTGCTAATTCAATTTATTGAGCACCCCCCCCCCCCCAAAAAAAAAAAATCAAAATGTACATTGTTGCACTCTTGGGAGTAATTTTAGCTATTCGACCCATCCTGGGAATGTTTGCCACTGTTCCCAGTTTTATCAATTTGTGGATAATGTTTCTGACAGTGGTTTGCCAAAGGCCCAGAGTCTTGGAAATGGCTTTGTAACCTCTTCCACACTGACAGATCTCAATAACCTTTTTTCTAATTTCTTCTTGAATTTCTTTGGATTTTATTTGTGTGGTTTCTTGATTCAACAAATGTGGTGCTAGCGTGTTGCCTGTTAAATTGAACTTAGTCACAGTTACTTTGTGATTTAACAAGGGGTGGTAGGGGGCAGTTACTTTTACACATAGTGACAGGTAGTTTAGGATTTTATTGTGTGCCTTAATGAATGAAATTGTCATTTAGAAACTGCATGTATTTCCTTGGGTAGTCTCTGTGTGATAAGTCCTGTGGAACAGTCACTGGCTCACCCATGACCCTCATGAGGACAAGAGCGATAGGAAATGGATGGATGGATGAACACCTCAAAATGAATATTATTATCTCTGTAAATTTTGTGGATGCAGCTCTTGTATTAAGTCTTACTCCAATATGTCTTTTGTGTATCAAAAAAATAAATAAGCAAGCGAGTGCAGAAAACACACCATATTGGTTATTTTAGGATCGGATAAAGACAGCACTAATTTAAATGTGATTATCAATCACAGTGTCGTTTTTTTTCTTTCATTTTTCAGAGATGAATCTGTTATTTGTGCATGTTTCGGTGTACTATACAGTGTAGTGACTAGTAGTTTATGCTAGGGCTGAACAATTACATTTAAAGTGTTATTAGAATGCAGTGGAAAGCAATCTTTTATTTTTATGCGAAGACTGCAATTTGGGAAGAAAAAAAGAAAAACATTTTGGTCGGTCGACTTTTATATTATGTACTGTTAAATCCTGTCAATAACATGCATTTATGCATCGTACCTTCCCGCAATTTGGGATCCTTATTTTGGGCTGTTCACAGGATTTTACAGCTACGTATGTTTTATTTTATTTATATTTAATTTTATTGTCTGATAAATTAAGTGCAGTCCACATGTTTACATATCAAATATTTCATGAAATGTTAAATAGTCAGGTGATAAAGCCAAACATTTGTCAGCACAACTGATGTAATCTGATTTATGACTGACTGATTGATTGACAGTTACGCCACAGTTGTTGTCCAAAAATATTGCAGATTAAGTCGCAATCGTTATATTGAGAGGAAAAAAAAAAATCACAATTGGAGTATTTTTCAATATTGTTCAGCCCTATTTTATACTGTATTAAAAAGCAGCAGGACATCTCCTTAGTGGTTGATGAGTGTACCGGATTGTCCCTTTAATGGAAACATACTAACGCTATTTTAGTAAAAGGTGCTCCGATATGACGTGGGAGTAAGACAACGCGAGCGAAGGGGTTGGAAGTTAGGGTCTGCTCCGCTGCTGGTGGACTCCGGTAACTGCTCCTCGTCCTCCTCCTCGGGTAGTGCGGGAGCTCCCGGTTCTCCTGGCCTGGGGAGGCTAGAGCAGGTTAAGGTGGAGGAGGAGGAGACCACGGACTTTAGTCCGCCATCGTTCGGTAGCGACGGCGCACTGGGGCGGGCGCCGACTTCAAGAGTGGAGAGGCTTTGTGATCCGTCCGGGTAGCAGAGCAAGGTGGAGTCATTTGAGAACATACCGGAGACCTCCTGGGAGGGACATGGAGTGGTGAGGCTGCTCTTGGGTGAGGAACTGGAAGCTGCTGCTGCAGAACAACAAAAGAAATACAGGTGGATTGCAACATATGGATAGAAATATTGTTGAATAATTACTTCAATAGTTCAAGTCATAGAGTGAAAAAAAAAACATTCTCTGCTGTAATTGTGATTGAACTTACAACTCACAGAAATCCAGAATTCACCATCTTGATAATAAGAAATGAATGAATAAAATAGGTGTACAACATTACAACAGCCAAAAAACAGTAATACTTCTGAAAAAGATTAGTTTGTGACAGCCCTTCATTGAATTTAAGACGTGAGCTTCGAACCTCTGAGGGACTCCAGCTTCTCATTCTTGGCCTTCTGCACCTCGTCTGTGATCTTGTGGATGAGGAAGTTTTGTGAGCGCAGCTCCCGGATGGAGTCGACCAGGACGTCGAGGCCACGGGGGTTCTCGGTGAGAATGTCCAGTAGCCACCCTGTCCTTCTGGTCTGCGTGGTCTTGCTGTTGATCTCCTCAGCGTCGTCTCTGGTCAAGATACGGCGGGAGCGTAGGTAGTCTAGATGGCACCGGGCCCGGATCTTCTCACAGAGGTAGTGCCGCATGCGGGTCAGGACCTGGCGCATGATGTTGGAGAGTTCATTTTTCAACAATTTCCCATTGCAATTTAAAAAAGTCATAAAACAAGAATCGCATTACTTAATTTAAGCATGTGGGTGGCCACACATGGTGGCACTGCTGGGGGGCAACATGCCCCGATATAAATGCATGGTGAAATGGTTTTATTTTGTGTAACTGCTTCATGACATGTGAACCATTGGCATTTCAATTGGCCTAGGCCTACGACAGAATAATAGTATGATTGTGTGACTCTACAGGTGTACCAAATGCTCACGAAATAGCACTACATACTCTGAACACGGTGCAGTTTCGATTTAGTACGTTCCAAATTCATTTAAATCTTTTGAAAAAATCACGACGATTAAAGCATAGATTAGTATGTAGTGGCTGTACAGGTGTAACTAACGTTAATGCGTTTACATAATCTGTTTTTAAAAAGGGTGTTGTGGTTGGGTCCGTTCCGCGTTCCCTTCACTCACTAAAAATACAAAGAGGGCGGCTTTTTCGATGTCTTTTGTTGAACGCTCAATACTACGTCGTCCATTAGGGGAGTGAGCCAGCGTACTCACGTCTTTTTTAATCTCCGCCATCTCATCTTCAGTGAGTTGAGGAACGTCCATCCTCGCGTGGATTTCAAAAAGTAAGACCAAAAAAAAAAAAAAAAAAAAAAAAATCCAGGTGTTCCACTAAAAAGCAAATACTAAACTAAGTTCCGCATTAAGTTCTTACCACATAAAAAGTTTACTTTCGAGTTTTTGTTTTTGATGTCAGGCTAAATCCGGAGCATTCGCTTATGTTTTGTGTTTTCAGTTAACGAACAGGGGGGAAAGCCCGGACTTCCTGATTGGTTACGTCAACACGAGGCCAAGGGGTCGAACTTCAAACGTCACTCAAATTGTAATGTGGTGCAATATCCTCACTCTGACTCGGGGTGTCGCTGTTGGACATGTTTTTTTTTATTTTAGGTTTTTTTTTCAGCAAACCCTGTTGTAGATTGGTTTGTTCGTCAGATTCCGTTACGTGTGGGGCCTTTAGTAGTTAGGTGAGAAGGGTGGTTGTTCCAGCACGTTGAGGTACTTCCAAGAACATCGTTGTGCCAGCCAGGAACTGTCAGATGCTCAGGGTATTGTGAGTGGGTGCACTGTCAGTAACAAAAAAGTGAGCACCCAAGATTATAGAATTTTTCTAGCAGCTGGACACATCACCAGTCTGTTTTTTTCTTCTTCTTGCGACAAGAAAAATCATTAAAACTGTTGCCAAGCGTTTTGCAAACATTGCAACCTTGAATGAACCCTAACGAGAAAGCCTTAATTTCCAGTGGGCAACTGAATTCAATTGATCACTATGACATCAAAATCGAATCAAGTGCCTTCGAAAACACTTGCAATTGTTCGCAGCTCAGTGGAATAGACGCTTATTGTGCTTTTTAATCCAACAAACAAGGATCTAAAATCAGTCCATTGCTCAATATTTATTCAATGACAAAACACAATATACATAATTTGTGGGCACATACAAACAAACCACAGTTCACACCTCTGCACAATTAGCGTCTCCAATGAACACGCATGTTTTTGGAATGCGGGACGATGCCAGACTACCTGAAGACACCACCACTAACCATGGTGAGGACATCCAAACAGGAAGGATTCGATCCCGTACTTCAAAAATGGTGAGGCAGACATACTACCCACTACCAAACTGTGATGCTGTGTATTAACCAGATATTCCTTATTTAAATTGTGCTTCCTGCCAAAAGGGATGACAAGAAATATCACTTGCTGAAAAGTAGGAGGTCATTTCACAAACGCTGAAGACCAAAAAGTGGATATTGGATCTTCAAATATCATCAGGTAAGAGTTTTTGAGAAAGTCCACGTAGTTCTGCATGTTCTTCTTGTGGCTTTCGCACTGGTCAAGGTTGAGCTGCAGCTCTTTCACACGCGCCTCATAATTCTTCTCCGCCTAAACGGGCACAGACAAACACCTCGAGGTTGAATGTAAAGGACACGCGTGGTGTGAGTGGGAAAGGGGAAGGTCGGTATTCACCTTCATCTTGCTCTGACGGAGAAGCCTCAGCTCGTTAACGGTGCTCTGAAGGGCCTCGTTTTTGGACAGAACTTGCTCTTTGACATTTTTCACCTGTAAATGTAATAACATATTTCTGATTTAGAATGATACCCGGTACACTGTTATACCCACTGCATGTCTGTCACCAGGTATCATGTGTTCGGTGAGAAAAAATAAATAAAAAATTGGGGAAATAAATAATGACGACGCAGGCGGCACGGTAGTCGACTCTGGTTAGCACGTCCAAGTCACGGTGTCGAGGTCACGGGTTCAATTCTGGCCCCCGGGCCTTCCTCTGTGGAGTTTGCATGTTCTACCCATGCTTGTGTGGGTTTTGTCCGGGTACTCCGGTTTCCTCCCACATTCCAAAAACTTTCATGGCAGGTTGACGGGACCCTCTTAAATTCTAAAACTCTCAAATTGGTAATCCGCCCATCCCTAATCAGCAACCCAGCTCAAATGGCAGAAAGACAGTGCGCTGCCATATGTTTTGATAGTTTGGGTCCGGTTCTTAATGAACAGCCTGTTTCCTGGTTCACAGAAGATCAGGCAAAGATGACTGGACTGTATCATTTTTTTTGATCCTCCAGTAGGCAAACAACAACAAAAATGGTTTCACAAATAGGTTTTTGAGCACACTGTCTCCTGGTTCAGAGGATGAGATAATATTCTGGGGTTACGTTCGTGTGAGGTCATCCACACAGCGAAATTACCTGTTCTTTGAAATCCAAAAAGTCTGTTGAGTTTTGAGCCAGCTGCTGGTTGAGCATTTTGCATTCGAACGTCCGTTGCTCTAGTTGGCGTTCGAGCTCCGAGCACTGCGTGGAGCGTTGCTCAAGTAGCTGGCTGCTGTGGCGAAGAGCTTGCTCTTGGGTCTCCAGCCTGCGTTCCAAGTCCAGTTTCTCTTGGCGCAGCTGCTCCAGCGTCCTAAACAAACCTTCTGAGTCAGGGTTGCTTTCGCCAGGGTCTAATTCGGTCAGCTGAGTCTTTGCTGTTGTCTTACTTTTGCAGGCTGTCCACTTGTTCTTGCACTTGTGAACGGGTCTTGTCAGCGGACTCTCTCAGCTCCACGGCCGATCTCACCAAATTCACTTGAGTCTGCAGCTGTTAGTTCAAAATCCAGATGCAGCATTAATTACCTATTAGATACTGTGAGATAAATGTTTCGGGGCGTTTTAGTAAACAGTTCCTCTGATGTTTTGCTTGTTTGTACAAGTACTTAGTGGGCTGGTATTTCATCAGATTATACAACAGCTTTGTTTTTAAATCTTCCATAATATATTATATAATATTCAATAATATCATACATAACGAGAGTCTTTATGTTTAGCTTAATTATTTTTCTCTTTAATTGAAACTATACAAAAACAACTTTAATACAAGTATGACGTTTTTGGTTAGGCTATACGGTAGATGTATTACTCAATTTGTAGTCATTTAAAACGAGCTTTCAATATGACCTACGTGTATTTTTTTTAATTATAAAAGAAAAAATATATTTTTTGTTATATTATCATGCTTAGGCACATAAAATTGCATATTTTACATACACCTGTGATTTTTTTTGAAAAAACATATCCATTTATTATTATCGGTCAATTTTTTTGTACATATTTGCAAATAGAGAACTGAAGATACATTTATAAATTCTATTTAGTTAGCTTTTAGTTTTAAATACAACAAGAAAGTTTAAAAAATATATAAAGGACAACATATTTCAGATTACATAAAAAATACTATAATGGCTCATCTATATCATTTAATTATATTCAGTTTTGTCTATAAAATAACTCCCATTTTTTAAAAAGTGACATTCTTTCTTAGATTTTTAATATTAAATATATTTTGGAAAAACCCTACATTTTATTCATGTTTTTTTTCTACCTTCCTAAAACACTTCAAATTCTATTGCGCAATGGTCATGGTCCCGGAATGACAAATTTGATCCCTCAAGTACGGCCCCCTTCCTTGTTAAGCCTTCCTGCTGGCACACCTCATACTGCAGCTTCGTAATGTCCTCCGCCTGTTCTGAGCACTTCCTCTCTGAGGTTTGTAGCTTCTCCTGGCAAGCGAGCAGCTTCAGCTCGGTCTCTTTCAGCGTTTTAGGCAAATGCTGCAGCTCTTCGACGCGGCCCTGCAGCTCCTGCCTCACCTGACAGAAGGTTAGACTAAAGTGTCATCAAACCTGACTGATGGGCTATGCTACCTCCCAGAATGAGGAAGAGCGTTTATCTGTCGACCCCGTATAAATCTCTGCAGAGCGGAACATACTGTTGCATTGGTTTACTGAAGATACACTGAAAAAAACCCGCTTCGGGAATAATAATACTTCTAGTATGACAATTGATACAGTTAACCTTAAAGCTACATGCTGTCGGACTACACACTAATTCTTCTGATTGTTTAGGTTCTACTGGCTCAGCAGTTTGCTCATTAACGTCCGCGTGTGAACAATCAAGCACTGAGGTAAATGCAATACAGTGGTGTCTTGTTTAATTCATTCCCTAACCACGCTTGCAACTCAAATAACTTGTATCTCAAGTCATATTTTCCATTGAAAGGAATGAAAATGCCATTAATCGCCTACAGTCACCCGCAAAATAACACAAAATGTTTTTTTAATGACAAAAATATCACTGTATAATATTACACTTCATACAAACCCACAGTAATGACCCAATTAAATTGAATTGAAAAAAAATTAAAGATCAACTTAATGACCATAGTCCTGCTGCCTTGGCCACCTGGGGGCAGTGTAAGATAGACGGATGTACTATACATGGACGTCTGTACTCTAGAGGTGAGTGAGCACTGTTATTTTGAATGTCTTAATGTGTTGCTGCACCATTTGTGTGCAAATATCAGTTGCTGAAAGGGTTAGATATGCATTTCCCTTGATGTTTTACCGTTAGCATTAAGATAGTGACAGCTATGTGGTTGTTTCAAAATAAAGATGTAAAATTCTATCATGTTTGACAGTAAACTGGGAGCGGCATGAAACATCTTGAGCCTGTTGAAAACATCAGAAGTAAATTACCTTTTCAGCTTTTGAGTCTTCTCCTTGCATTTTCTGAAGCTCCTCTGATACATTTTTATATTGGAGCTTTGCATTGCTCAACTCTGCTTCCAGCGATGCAACCTGAAAGGAACACAGAATTCAAATTATTCAGCGATTCATTTTCTACTGTGCACGTCCTCATCATTCTGGCTTACTTCAGGCCCAGGAATCGATGCCGGCCAATCACAGGGCTCACATTGACAAATAACCATTCACATGCACACCTTTGAACAATTTAGTAAAGTTGATGATTGCATTATAAAATAATGTACTGTCATGTATTGTAATAATGTCATAAAGCAAGATCTTCTTCAAACTACTCCGAAATTGCTGTTCAAAAGCCAAATGTGTAGTTTACGTTAGTGAGCTGTATGTATTATGTGAGAATTGATACAATGTTCAGAGCTAACGAGTCTGGCTCATGGATGACTTAAAACTGTTAGAGGAAATGGGAGCCCTCGCGGCACATGTAACGTATTTTGTACAGCGCGTTGGCTCTTTAACCGCAAAATGATTTTCGGCAACAACGGATGTGAGGAGAATCAAATTTGCTGAACAACTTGTAGATTGCGGGAGGAAACAGAAGCACAAGGAGAGCAAGGTAAGCTCCACACAGAGACTCGAACCCAGATTTTCTGACAGTGAAGCAGCTGTGCTAACCTTCTTTTGAACCTGTTCAACGGTGCGGTCCTTCTCACTCGACACACTCTTCTCTTGGACCAGGGCTGCCTCACATTCAGCAAGCTGCTTCTCAAACTGAACAAGGGACACACACACACACACACACACACACACACACACACACACACACACACACACACACATATTATGTAGATTTTGTGACACATTGAAAGGAGACTCAAACCCAGATTTCCTGACAGTGAAGCAGGTGTGCTAACCTTCTTTTGAATCTGTTCAACGATGCGGTCCTTCTCACTCGACGCACTCTTCTCTTGGACCAGGGCTGCCTTACATTCAGCCAGTTGCTTCTCCAACTGAACAAAGGACACACACACATATGTAGATTTTGTGACACATTGAAAGGAGACTCGAACCCAGATTTCCTGACAGTGAATCAGGTGTGCTAACCTTCTTTTGAACCTGTTCGACGGCGTGGTCCTTCTCACTCGACACACTCTTCTCTTGGACCAGGGCTGCCTTACATTCAGCCAGTTGCTTCTCCAACTGAACACACAAGGGACACACACATATTATGTAGATTTTGTGACACATTGACAGGAGATTCGAACCCAGATTTCCTGACAGTGAATCAGGTGTGCTAACCTTCTTTTGAACCTGTTCGACGGCGTGGTCCTTCTCACTCGACGCACTCTTCTCTTGGACCAGGGCTGCCTCATATTCAGCAAGCTGCTTCTCCAACTGAACAAAGGACACACACACATATTATGTAGATTTTGTGACATACTGAAAGGAGACTCGAACCCAGATTTCCTGACAGTGAAGCAGGTGTGCTAACCTTCTTTTGAACCTGTTCAATGACGCAGTCCTTCTCACTCGACACACTTTTCTCTTGGACCAGGGCTGCCTCATATTCAGCAAGCTGCTTCTCCAACTGAACAAAGGACACACATTATGTCGATTTTGTGACACATTTAAAGGAGACTCAAACAGAGATTTCCTGACAGTGAAACAGGTGTGCCAACCTTCTTTTGAAACTGTTCAACGACGCGGTCCTTCTCACTCGACGCACTCTTCTCTTGGACCAGAGCTGCCTCACATTCAGCCAGTTGCTTCTCCAACTGAACACACAAGGGACACACACAAATTATGTAGATTTTGTGACGTATTTAAAGGAGACTTGATCCCAGATATCCTGACAGTAAAGCAGATGTGCTAACCTTCTTTTGAACCTGTTCAACGACGCGGTCCTTCTCACTCGACGCACTCTTCTCTTGGACCAGGGCTGCCTCACATTCAGCAAGCTGCTTCTCCAACTGAACACACAAGGGACACACACATTATGTAGACTTTGTGACACATTTAAAGGAGACTCGAACCCAGATTTCCTGACAGCGAAGCAGGTGTGCTAACCTTCTTTTGAACCTTTTCAATGACGCAGTCCTTCTCACTTGACACACTCTTCTCTTGGTCCAGGGCTGCCTCATATTCAGCAAGCTGCTTCTCCAACTGAACAAGGGACACACACACACATGTAGATTTTGTGACACATTGAAAGGAGACTCAAACCCAGATTTCCTGACAGTGAAACAGGTGTGCCAACCTTCTTTTGAAACTGTTCAACGACGCGGTCCTTCTCACTTGACGCACTCTTCTCTTGGACCAGGGCTGCCTCACATTCAGCAAGCTGCTTCTCCAACTGAACACACAAGAGAGACACACACAAAGTAGATTTTGTGACACATTTAAAGGAGACTCAAACCCAGATTTCCTGACAGCGAAGCAGGTGTGCTAACCTTCTTTTGAACCTTTTCAATGACGCAGTCCTTCTCACTTGACACACTCTTCTCTTGGTCCAGGGCTGCCTCATATTCAGCAAGCTGCTTCTCCAACTGAACACATAAGGGACACACACACAATGTGGATTTTGTGACACGTTTAAAGGAGACTCGAACCCAGATTTCCTGACAGTGAAGCAGGTGTGCTAACCTGATTTTGAACCTGCTCAATGATGCGGTCCTTCTCACTCGATGCACTCTTCTCTTGGACCAAGGCTGCCTCATATTCAGCAAGTTGCTTCTCCAACTGAACACACAAGGAACACGCACACACGTTATGTAGATTTTGTGACACATTTAAAGGGGACGCATTGTGTAAACTATACTTTTTAAGGCCTGTATATTAATTGTTGTATATGTCTGGAGTGCCTGCCATAAAGCAATTTTTTTCCTGTTAATTAGGAAACATATTTACATTCCTATGAGCACAAATTCAATAGCCGCATCAAACGATCAATTTTGATTGACGTGCTATTGTATTACATTAGATGAGGGCTGATCAAATTATGAGCTTCGGGGTTGTTCAGGTTATATACAGTAACATTTCCATCGGTGCTACATAACGAGCAGTTCTTTAATCCGGCCCAGAGAACATTTACATGAGAAATAATGGAGCTGAAAGATTATAGCCAAAATGCTAATCAGGACTATGTGAAGGAAAATATATGTATTTTTATTGCACTACTTAACGTAAAGAATATTCAGTGCACAATGACGCGTGGAAATAGATTTCCAATTTAGAAGAAATGCGGTGGGCAGCTGAGTTGTACCTTGAGCATCGCGTAACTGCCGCTGTCGTGCTCCTCTTGCACTTTGAATCTTTCACGCTGATGCGCCACACCGCCATGTCCGGAGGAGGTCTCCGCCACTTCCTCCACCCTCCTTTCTTGCCACTCCCCCCTTTTGGAGCTGCCCTCTCTGGCCTTCTCCATTTCCCTCCTTTCCCTCTCCCTCACCCATTCCTTCTCCCTCTCCTCACATTGCTTCTGCCAATCCCTCCTCTCCCTCTCCCTTTCTGCCCTTCCCTTCAATTGTTCCTTCTCTCTGTCTTCCCACTCCCTCCTTTCCTTCTCCCTCTCCTTCACCCATTCCCTCTCCTTGTGCTCCTGCTCCTTCCTTTCCTTCATCCTGTCCTCCAAGTCCTTTTCCCTCTCCTCCCTTTCCTTCACCCATTCCCTCTCCTTGTACTCCTGCTCCTTCCTTTCCTTCACCCTGTCGTCCAAGTCTTTCTCCCTCGCCTCCCTTTCCTTCACCCATTCCCTCTCCTTATTCGCCTGCTCCTTCCTTTCCTTCATCCTGTCCTCTAATTCTTTCTCCCTCGCCTCCCTTTCCTTCGACCATTCTCTCTCCTTGTTCTCCTGCTCCTTCCTTTCCTTCATCCTGGCCTCTGATTCCTTTTCCCTCGGCTCCTTTCCCTTCACCCATTCCCTCTCCCTGTGCTCCTGCTCCTTCCTTTCCTTCATCCTGTCCTCCAAGTCCTTTTCCCTCTCCTCCCTTTCCTTCACCCATTCCCTCTCCTTGTTCTCCTGCTCCTTCCTTTCCTTCATCCTGTCCTCCAATTCCTTCTCCCTCTCCTCCCTTCCTTTTGCCCATTCCCTCTCCTTGTCCTCCTGCTGCTTCCTTTCCTTCATCCTGTCCTCCAATTCCTTCTCCCTGTCCTCCCTTCCCTTCGCCCATTTCCTCTCCCTGTGCTCCTGTTCCTTCCTTTCCTTCATCCTGTCCTCCAATTCCCTCTCCCTCGCCTCCCTTCCCTTCACCCATTCCCTCTCCCTGTACTCCTGCTCCTTCCTTTCCTTCACCCTGTCCTCCAATTCCTTCTCTCTTGCCTCCCTTCCTTTCGCCCGTTCCCTCTCCTTGTCCTCCTGCTGCTTCCTTTCCTTCATCCTGTCCTCCAATTCCTTCTCCCTGGGGTCCCTTTCCTTCGCCCATTCCCTCTCCCTGTGCTCCTGCTCCTTCCTTTCCTTCATCCTGTCCTCCAATTCCTTCTCCCTCGGCTCCCTTTCCTTCGCCCATTCCCTCTCCTTGTCCTCCTGCTCCTTCCTTTCCTTCATCCTGTCCTCCAATTCCTTCTCTCTCGCCTCCCTTTCCTTCGCCCATTCCCTCTCCCTGTGCTCCTGCTCCTTCCTTTCCTTCATCCTGTCCTCCAGTTCCTTCTCCCTCGCCTCCCATTCCATCCGTTCCTTCTCCCTCTCCTTCGCCCTGGCCTCCTTTCCCTTGAGCCTCTCTTTCTCCCTTTGTCTCACCCTCTCCTCCCACTCTCTCTCTCGCTCCTTCACCATTGCCGCCTGCTTTTCCATGTCCTTCTGCATCTTCATCGGGATGGCGATTGCTTGCCTTCAAGTATAAAAGTTAAAGAAGACTTCTTAACAGGTTTTGTACAGCTGTCATTAAATTTAATTGAGTGCTTTTTAATGCTGTTTTTCATGCAACTTAAAACTAATTAAAACAAACAATTACCACACACCCAAACATTTACATACATTCATGTATAATGAATACAAAATAGCATTTTGTATTTTAGTTCACTGATACAAGAATTTAATCATAATTTACATAGTTATTTAAAGTTAAAAAGATGAAGTATGCAAGTTAAAGTGAAACACTGAGCCACATTTGTGTTGAGGGCATTTTTCTGCCACTAGGTGGGATTAGTGTTTCATTTTGGACCGTGACAGGAGCAGTACATCTTCCCAAATTAAGAGCAAATTAATTGGAACATGAAGCAAATTGTGGACTCCATATGCATCGTAGAGGAGTGCGTAACAGATACAAGTCCAGATAATTCAGATCATGTCTTCTTTGTTTTGTTTTTTTAATTACGGCTCACTAAAGAGTTAGTAGGTTGTTTAATTTTACACTTGATGGTGCAAAGGTACTACAAATCCCAACTACTTGTACACAAGCAATTAAAAATGCATTTTTACAAAACTTGCCCCCTTTAAAATTAGTGTACACATTCGGAAACAACTTACTTTTGCAGTAACTCCACGTGAGTAGTTAGTTTGTGGTTCTCCTCAGTCAGTTGCTCCTTCTCCCGCTTCCACATGTCTCTTTTTTCTTGGAGAGATGACAGTTGTGCGTCCTGATAGAAGACAAAAATTGTATATAAAGTCTTTGCAACAGGAAAGCCAAGTGAGTCACCTGTATGGACTCTGGGTCGCACCTTATCCTGCAGCTGAGTCAAGCTTTTCTCAAGGCTGGCCTCGAATCGCTCAGCTTTCTGCTTGTGTACACGTGAGGCCTTCTTGAGGGCCTCCTTCTCCTGCGAGGTCTGTTCCATCAGAGCCGTCAGGGATGCTTTAAGGTCATCTAGCTCTGCCTTGTGTTGAGTTAGGGTTCGCTCAAGTGTCTAGAAAAGAAGAATGTGCTATAACATGACAACTTGCTCATCCTGGGAGTGAGGGGCAACACATTCAGGGCTTCTTACCCGCACTTGCACAGTCAATCGATTGTTTTCCGCCTCCTTGTTGCGTAGCTGCCCCTGTATACGGGCACGAGCACCTTCTGCAGACTTAGCTATGTTTAGAGCACTCTTGATGTTCTCCTGTGGTCAAGAAGAATTATTGCTTATTGAAACTGTCTTTTTTTTCCCGTGTCACTGTACCGCGTAAATTGCACTTGAATTGAATGTGGATATAACTTGGTAGTTGTGACAGAGCATTGAACTATGCTAACATGTGGCATGTACTCGCCTGTTCTTTTTGCTGCAGATACATCAGCTCTTCCGCTCTTTTTTGTGTTACACCAAGGTCACCTTTTAGAAGCTGGAGAGAACAAATGAGAGGAAACTACAACGGATATTATCCACTACAAAGACAAAAAGCACTGGGACACGAGGACATTTCAACAAAAAAAAAAAAAAAGAAGAGTTTCTACATCAAGAGTGCTCTTCTGAAAAGGCTGGCTTTGAATGTTCTCTCTGTGCTTGTGTGGGTTTTGTGTGGGTAGCCCCTGTTACCTCCCATGCTACAAAAACATGCACCTTAGGTTTATTGAGGACTCCACCTCGTCCGAAGGTGTGAATGTGTCTGAACGGTTGTCTTTCTATATGTACCCGGTGACTGACTGGCAACCATGGATGGATGGTTGGAGTGATGACTATTGGCACTTGCGAGTTGTTTTCATATTTTAGTTCCTATACTTGAGTGGCCTTAAATCCTTTGGTATTCATAGCACGTATGCACTTGGGTGCATTTTTCACAAAACACACCTGATTTTCACGTTCAATCTGGAGGATCTTATTCAGCAAAGCGTCAATCTTGGTGCTCGCATCAAGGCGATCAGTCTGGTTAAAAAGAAGAAAACAACCACTCAGAAACTTTCCATTTAAGCCTGAAGATGAAACGAATGACAACCAACCTCCTCATCCAGAAGCTGGTTCAGTCTTTGGCGCACAAGCTGGTTAATTTGACGAAAGTCCTCCATTTTTTGTAGCAAGAGTCTTCTATGCTTTACCGTGCGCTGCCGGTTGACTGCAGACGATGGAGCATCCTTTGACGAACAAGAGGAAACATTAGGAATTTGCAATACTCTGCTCACGACACGAGTTGAGAAACGTACCTTCAGAATGTCTTTGAATGACAGGAGCTGTGCGGTTGCAGAGACGATGGCAGCTTCGGCGTCCATTAGTCTCTTCATGAATGATCCAAACCCTTTGCTGTTGTCCCCAGCCTTACACGGACTACAAGGGGTATGTGGAGATAGAACAGTTTGTTAAGTGGGTCATTTTTCAGGCAGCTTACGCCTGTCGCTTCACAATGTCTTCTTAGGACGCATGCATGTTCCTCACCAGTGGACCCCAACCTGTGGCGTTCTGTTGAGACCAGTGTTAGTCCAAATGGTCTTTGAGGCTTCACGAGAGCCTTCGAGGTCTGCACAAGTCAGTGTCACACCCAGCCTGGCTGAGGAACTGCTGCCAGGAGGTTGACTCTGCCGTTCATTCTCAGGAAACATAACTCCTGTCATCGATGAAACAATAATAGAGAGGTTCCTAACGTATTAAACATTTTAATTACCCTCATGAGTGACTTCAACGGCGCTATACAAATCTAAGATACATTTATTACTAATACGGTGAGAAATGCACTCAACTGAATGAAGGTTCTATTTTATCTTGAGTGTTAGCTTGTGTCGTCAAGGTGTGTTGTCAGGGAACCGTGGTGTTAACTCCCCCTCTTTATGACGTTTAAACATTTCGTTTCGATCAAATAATACGACTTACCGAAAACACAGTAAACGCCGACTTCCCTATAATTAAATGCTCACAAGCAGTCTGCTGTTAATAAAGACATAACTCACGGATTTGGTCTTGTTTCAGACGGCGAACACTCCAAAACACCCGCCCACTTAATCAATCTCGGCGATTTGAAGATGATTGGCTAGTCAATGGATCATATCTTACGTCACCTAGTTTCCTCATCGCCGATTCGCTGCATTGAAGTAGAAGTAGGTGGTACTCACGCGATCAAATTCGCTGACAGCCAATGAGCAGAAAGCGACACTGCTTTTGGCTGAAACCATAGAAACTAAACGGAAGTTTACCGTTGCGAGCTCCGCTAACAAACACAGCTACAAAGATTTACGAGTATGTTTTTTTTCATCTACTCGAACGCTTCAAAAGTAGCCTTAATTCGACATAAAGGCGTATATCACAAGCACACAACTGATATTTGCTCTCGTAAATGCGCTGTTGTGTCTTAAATAGCAGTTAGCTTGACGGCTAATGGTTCTCAGCCTCGATACTACAATGTTCAAAGCTAAAATACTCCTAATTGGTCCAAATGAGGTAAGTAAAAATACACACCTTTAACCGTATAGTGTTTAACGCAGCTGTTGCTTCACGTGTTCAGTTATAAAACTAAATGACAAACCAGCACTGATCCATGGTTTCTGTAAATGGTCCCCTCCCATTTGTTTGACTAATACAGAGATATTCATTTCAGAGTGGGAAATCTGTCCTAGCAAATTTTCTCTCAGACGCAACAGAAAATGTTGGAGGCGAATACAGACCCACTCAAGCAGTCAGGTACGAGCTACATGACAATCCTCAAATATCACCAACGGCTCTCTAATTTTAAGATTTGCATGATTAAATTAATAGTGGTGTTTCTATGGCGCTTCATTTTTTTTCTTGCAGGATACTAGAATTTGAAACACAATTGGATGGTTGCGGTGAGGTAAAATCATGCGAGGTTGAGCTCTGGGACTGCTCTGGCGACTTCAAGTGTGTTCGATAAACCTTCTTTCTTTCACTTAATTTGCACCATGAAGATAACGTTTTACAGACTGCTTCCTCTTCCAGGTTTGAGTCATGCTGGCCTGCACTCACCAAGGACTGCAGTGGTGTGGTGCTCATTTTTAATCCAGACGTTCCAAGTCACTTGAAAGAAATCGAGACCTGGCACTCGATGTTCATCTCCTCGCAGGGCTTGCAGGACAGCCAGTGTCTGCTCATTGCACATCACAAGCCCGGCAGTGCAATAGAAGAAGGTCGACTGCCTTTAGGTAATCCTTTTTCAATGCCTTCTATATTATAAATGAACAATGCTTCACTTTTTTTTTTTTTTTTAAATGCAGCCTCACAGCTGAGCAGACTTCCACTTATTCATTCTGAAATGGAGGAAGAGCCCGAGGACCTGAGGCGAGCTTTCTGCAGCTACCTGGGGAAAGTAGTAAATACACTTTCGGAAAGTCGGGAGCGGGAGGAGATGTCCATCATCACGTAGCAACAAAATCTCTTAAAAATTAGCAGGTAGCTTCCATTTTTTTCCCCCTCGAACATTTCTAAATGATTCATCAGACATATCAGACGGGTTACTGTAGCTCTCATAGACAGACTTACATATACTTGTTTATATTTGGTGTGAAGAACAGGGGTCACCAAGTAAACATCTTTACAACGACACATTCGAGTACTAAATATTTGAAGGGGTAAAGACAAAATAAATGAATGAAATAATTTAGCGGTGCCATGTTTTGGGCACTCTGGAGCCCTGTGGCAGCCTCATGCTTTCGGGCTGTTTTTCTTCAGCTGGAATTGGGGCCTTAATCAAGGTATAGGGAATTATGAAAAGTTCCTAAAAGCAGTCCAGTTTTTGCATAAAACCTGCAAGGGAAAAAAAATGTCAGGAACGTCACAAGGATAACCATCCTTTAAAGTCCTCATCCGCAAAAGCAAACAACCTTGAATCATTACAGTCCTGTATTTACACAGTCACACTTTGTCCTTGCAGGAAAATGTTCACTCAAAAATATAACTGCACAAGCAGGATATCAACTGCATATAGGGCATTTTATCATCAATTAATGTATTAAAGCAGTTGGTTTCTCTCTACAAGGAGAGAGAAATAGCACATTCTATATTTAGAGTGCCTTTTGGATGTCACCCCGCAGCGTCAAGATACTCATATTGAGACACAGACGCAGTTGAATGAGTCATAATTTCAAATGGACAGACAGGATGACGAAAAAAAGAGGTCAGGGTGACTAAACTCGCAATTGAGGTGAAAACGAACATCATTCAATTTGGCCAGTAGCACACACGCACATGCTAAGATGGGCCAATGATCGGCCTTGAGGGGCATCATTTCGTTCACACTTGACACATTCGGTCTAATAATCATCCTATTCCCTAAGTCAATGCTTTGTCCTGGACTGACCCGCTTGCTCGAAGCATATCATTTGTCATTAGCTTCATTAAAGAAAGAGTCTTAGAAAGGATGGAGTAATATCTCAAACGTGCTCAAGCATGTTTTTAGCTGGACTACAAGAGTTGATTGCATTTGCATAGCTGCATATCGCTCAAAATGTGATTAACCGATGTCTTATTCTAGTTCTAGTTCAGTATCTTTTTAAGGGCTTGTCCACTTCTAACCGTCATTACAACTTGATAGTTGTCGTCAAAAAGAGTCTTCATCGGTCAGTGTGCTGCACATCAAAACGTACATGACGTATATCATAAGAGTATCGTATTTTTTGGTGTGTTTGTGTGTGTTAATGTTGGAATCAAGTGTAAGCCATTGTGTCACTACTGTATCAACATATTAAAGCAGAAGGCAAGTCAAACATTTTCTTGACAGTAGTGTGTTCTGTGTGGCCCCACTGCTCTTCACATTGTATTCTGATTAATTTTGTGTTTGTGAAATATGAATTAAGCAGCAAGACCCACACATTGCTCTCCATCTCAGGGGGCCGCCATTTTGCCTCTTGCTGTCATCACATTGCTTATCTTGCAAATGTCACATGACCAAGCTTAGAAAACAGGTGAGCTATGTTTGGTTGTTCCCTGAGTCCTGAGCGACTGTGATGTCATTTTCAGTCGACAGCAAGTGGCAAAATGGCTGCCCCTGAGGTGGATCAAAACGGGTGTATTTTTGCTCAATATTCCACAAACACAGTATTAATCTGAATGCTGTGTTTAGACTAGTGGGGATAAATAGGACACATTGTAAAGAAAACCTATGACTAATAAATAGTGTAAAGAAAGCATATATAATAAAAAATAATAAGGAAACAATGTTTCATTCTAAATGTTTTGTTGCACGAATAACAAAAAAACCTTGAATTTCAACTCTGATCATTATAAAATAATGGATTTGGTTCATTCTCCAAACATGGTGGGTAAAGTCCATGCCCAATTACCGAAACATTGGTTTCATCTGACCACAGTAAATCCTCCCATGCCTTCTCCAAGTCATTTGGGGCTAACTGGTGGGCAAGATTTCACTACTTTTTGGGCACAATGTGTTCCCAACCCTTTTTTGCGGTTTTTGACATCCAAATTGCCTTCTGATCTGGCAAAATGGCTGCCCCTGAGGTGGATCAAAACGGGTGTATTTTTATGCTCAATATTCCACAAACACAATATTAATCTGAATGCTGTGTTTAGACTAGTGGGGATAAATAGGACACATTGTAAAGAAAACCTATGACTGGTAAATAGTGTAAACAAAGCATATATGATAAAATAATAATAAGGAAACAATGTTTCGTTCTAAATGTTTTATTGCACGAATAACAAAAAATCTTGAATTTCAACTCCGATCATTATAAAATAATGGATTTGGTTCATTCTCCAAACATGGTGGGTAAAGTCCATGCCCAATTACCGAAACATTGGTTTCATCTGACCACAGTAAATCCTCCCATGCCTTCTCCAAGTCATTTGGGGCTAACTGGTGGGCAATATTTCACTACTTTTTGGGCACAATGTGTTCCCAACCCTTTTTTGCGGTTTTTGACATCCAAATTGCCTTCTGATCATTACCAAGGCCCTGCCATTTCCCTTAAGGCCGCTTCCTTACCTTTTTCGTGATCATTCTCACGCCATGAGGCAAGATTTTGCACCGAGCGCCATACTGAGTGCAACCGATGGTCATTTTGTGTGTCTTCCACTTTGGAATAATGGCGCTATTAGTTACCACCTTCTCACAAAGCCTTTTGAGGATGTTTTTGGAACAGATTCCACCCTGGTGCAAGTTTATATCTTGTCCCTAACTGTTTGACAGCTGTTTAGTTGTTTTTTTTTTTTTTTTGCCTGTGCTGGTATGAAGATTGAAAAATAATTTATTTGTTGAACAGGTATGCTTTATATGCATGATGCGCTGAGATGAGGAGTATTTGAATTGTAATAAGCTGGTTGTCCACAGCTATGAGTAAGCCACAGGGGCACTAACATTATGGCCTGAGTTGTAGGGTAGCCAATATTTTGTTCACTCAGTAAAAGGAACAATGTGTATATAAATATGTGTGTATAAATTAAAAAAAAATGCAATATGAATGTTAATTTCTTTGTAAGAGGACACTCTACATTCAGCAGGGTTTCAAAGCATTATTTCTCCCACTGTAAACTGTATGGCACCTTCATAAATAGTCAAGTCAGAGATTTCATCTGCTTTGAAAGGATTTTATTGGCATGTAAAGTACATATAAGTCAGTGGGTGACATGAAACAAGCACAAGAAAACACAGTACAATTTTTTTATGGTAAGGCATGTTAATGATAATGTCGGGAATACAAATGAAATAATAATAATTATTTAAAAATTCGCGCCTGTAATCTTGTCGTAAAACCAAACCAGCCTTGGCATGTAAAATACATATAAGTCAGTGGGTGACATGAAAGAAGCACAAGAAAACACAGTACAATTTGTTATGGTAAGGCATGTTAATGATAATGCCGGGAATACAAATGAAATAATAATAATAATAAAAAAATCCGCGCCTGTAATCTTGTCATAAAACCAAACCAGCTGAGGCTGATTTTCTCCATTTTGACTTGTACAGTGAGCGTGGCGAAAAGCCCCCGATCATGTTGGAACGACGGGGAGCCGGTCCCTTGCCGTTTTGAGGGGGCCTAACTCCGGTTCCTGCTGAACTGAGCCAGTGTTTGGTGAACATCCAACTGTTATCAGCTCAGTAGGCACAGGAGGTTGAGCCCAGGCACCCGCGCACCGCCCTTTGGTCGCCACACGGGGGAGAAGTAGAGCACACGCAAGCAAAACTCTTGTGACTTTGTCGGTTTCCTCGAAATCGTCCCGAACGGTTGGTGATTCCCACATTTGTAATATTTTCCTATCACCATTCGTCGATCCTAACTATAGTGAAACTCTGGCGTTAAACAGCCCCGACGAGAGCTCAGTTCAGTGAGTGTCATTGTTCAAACTAGTTCTGTCTTCAAAAGGAAGAAAAATGGTAATCAAGGTCCAGTAAGTCCAATGAAAATTAAAATCAAAAAACATTGACCAAAGTCCATTAAAAATGATGATGTTGATATATCCACCAATGTTGCGCTCATGCTGTCTAAAACAATTTGATTTGATGTCACTAGGGATGAAATGGTCGCGGTTACTAGTGACATTTCAAATGTGATACCGTATTTAGCATATCTGAGAGTGAAAGTTCAGCAATCAGACAGAAAATGTTTAGATTTTTGGGGAGATATATATATTATTAATGTTTGTGTTTCATCTTATAGTTTTCTGTTTTTTAAAAACAATTTTGTTGTTTGCTATCTTTCTCCAGCTGTGTACATATATATTTTTTGTCATTTTCTCACATTCAATTTTAGTTATTTTTCCCATATTTTTCATTTTTTTTCTTATCTGTGTTTATCTGTTTTTTTTTGTGTGTATGTAAATTTTAGTTTTTTTATTTTTAATTTTTTTGCAGCTGTGAAAATACTTTGACCTGTGCCGCATCCATTTGCATCTCCCAGACACTTTACCTTTTGGAATATCATGTTAATCTACATCACGGTGGTCATTTTTCTCCCAATAATCATGTGATGAAAATGTCTTAGCTTTTCATCAATACGTGAGCTATACCAACACAGGATGAAGGCGTACGTTTATTTGTCCGCGTTTGGGTTGGATTTCCCTCAGTTGTCGAGCTTTTTTTTCCCCCTGCTGCCTTTTCGAGAAATATGTTACATAAGAGTCTATTAGCAGCGTTGCGGTCAGAGCGGGATTCGTAAAGCCTTACATTCACACAAACTTGGATGCAGCTTCCGCTGTTGACCACCCAGACAGTAATTGCGCTCAAAGTTCACAATTACATCGCTACTTGTTTTCTCCCCCCGATGAGACATTTCCTGTATTTCCTTCCTGTGTGTGACTCAGCCTTCACTTACCCCCCACCCCCTCCTCCTATGCTATGCGTTACCAAGGCTTCTTTAGATAGCATATTGTGAAGCTTATAAATAACCCAAAAATCTATACAAGCAGGAACTTTTCTTTAGCATGTCTACTCACCAGCCATGTCAGGCACAACCGCCTTAATTATTGTTCCCTTGTATAGTGAACTAAAGCTCGGGAGAGTTGACGCACCCCCTTTTCTCCAGCACCTAAGAAAGTCTAAACAAAGCCCATCATAAACTTTTGGAGCAGTGTTTGTGAAACATTTCAAGACACACATGCACTTTGACAAACTGAGTTGGCACTAAAAAGTGATAACAAAGAGCCAATGGATACTTTAAGAATACTTTTTACATGAAAAGACACGCATCCCCTTCGCCGTCTTGACATAGTTAGCGCCAGTGCGCCTCCTCTTCTGTGCATACGCTTTCACACCCTGGTCAGCCGTTCACATCCAAATAAAAAGTCAAAACTTGCTGTA